ATTGCCTCTTCTATTTCAACATTAACACCTATATTTTGTTCCTCAGTGGGTAAAGTAGCAGGTAAATTAGAAATGCTGACTGTTTGGGTGCGGAAATTATTAATTAAGCGCTTTTGTAGTTTCTTATATTTATCAAAAATACTTTTATCAGGCTNACATTGACTACAACTAAAGTTAGAATAAAAAATGGAAAAAATCGTGGAGAGTTTAAATAGAAAGAGTTAAATAGATAAAACTCTTTAGTTTCTTTTGTATTAAATATAGCCACTGGTTTATTTTTAGAACTATGAAACAAAATTATAGTGTCACAAAACTTATCCTTTTCACTTATAGCTAATTCTAATTTTAACAATTTACTTAGCTCATATGGAGTAAACATACTCACACTGCTCTCTGAAAAGTTAATAACTGATAAACTAGCTTTAATATCTTCTTGTACTACAATGCAAAGGTCAATAAGATCACCTCTTTTAAAATCAAATTTAGTTAAGGATTGGATGGTATTTTGTACTTCCTGATATATTCCACCTGCAATAATTCCTGGTAAGTCATCATCAGTAAAAGGTACTAGCCGTGTAAACACCATTTTATTATTTTTCATCACCACTTGTCTATACCCACCTGTCTTGGTTGCAGTAACCATAATTTTCCAGCCGTTGGAATTTTTATTTAAAATCTTTTGTGCTATATTACTCATTTCCATGGGCAACATTAATATTCCTTTAAAATTTGAGCCTATTTCAATAAAAACATTCAACCAATAATCTATTAAATGTTTTGCTCTTGATAAGATAACAAGATAATACCAATTTTGGTCAAATTTGCTTGGTTTTTCAATAAGAAAAGCTGAATTTATATCATGATTATCAGCAAAGTGTTCCATTTTTGTCTTGATTGACAGATAGGCACTAATTCTATTTACACCAGGAATGGATTGTAATGCGTAACTTTGATCTTGATGATTGAGTATTAAATACAGAGGTGCTTTTTTATCAGCTGCAAGGCATGATTTTAAATCAGAGATTGCATTGCTATTTTTATTCTTAATAAAGTATCTTTTATGTAAAGTGTCATTTTGAAAATATAATAATATTGTACCTTCTTCTCCAACAGAAAGCATAAATTTACTTTTAGGTTTTAATTTAAACATATTAATAGACTGTATGTTCGTCTAAAATTTAAAAAGGAATTTATTGAAATTCATTAAACACTAGGGGAAATTTTTCGTAAAAATCAAAAACGACGCTTCTTTTAGCATTCCTCACCATAAAAAAGCAAATAATTGTAAGATTAACTATATAAGCTATAATGATTTCATTCTAAATGCAAAATTGCTTATGACAGCAGATGAAAAAATATATACCTGCCTATGTGTATTGTTTGCAGTCCTTATTGTAACTGGTAATTTAATATATCAAAAATTTGTTTCTTTACCCATTTTATCACTTGAATTATCCGTGGGAGCGATATTATATCCTCTCACTTTTTTGTTAACAGATTTAATCACCGAATTTTATGGCAAAGAAAAAGCAGGATTTTGCGTCAAGCTTGCTATTATAGTGAATGTAATAATAGCAATAACTATTATGTTAATGGATAACTTAAATGCTACTTCATGGTCAAAGGTTGATAACGAAGTTTTTCATACAGTATTTGGTAAATATAGTGTCAATTTTATCGCTTCTATTATTGCATGTTATATTGCACAACTTATTGATATTAAATTATATCTATGGATACGTAACATAACTGGTGGTAATTTTTTGTGGCTAAGAAACAATGGCAGTACAATTATTTCCTTGCTAATAGATACATCCATTGTTGTTAGCATTTTATGTATATTCAATGTTTTACCCATAGAACGCATGTTAGCAATAATTATCAGCAGCTATTCATTTAAATTCCTCTTTACCGTATGTAGCACCCCTCTATTCTATTTTGGAGTATGGGTAATTAAAAGACTGCTGTAGATTT